GGGCCATATTTTTTTATGCTTTATTTTTGACTTATAGCCTTCATAAATATTTTTTTCATTAAATTGATTAAAAAGCCACTAGCCATTGTATTGTATCAGGGCACTTTTCAATAATGGTATTAGAAAGTGCCAATGAGTATCAATTGGAGAGACTGTACGGGGCATTTTTTATTGGCTATTGCAATAGGTGTTTGTCTTTTAACTCATCTTATATAAAATGACCATAAAGCCTATCCAAGAGAAATCTATGACGGTTCTAGAGTTACATTAGTCTTCTGCGAAGACAGTTATTGTAATAATGTCCTCAGAAAGACTGGATTACTTTTAAACTTTCTACGCACTAACCACGGATAGAATATTTGTCGCGAAAGGCATGTAATATTTGTCATGAACGTATGAACGCAATTAGCGATTGCGACTGCCAGCTGTAAAGGAATCCTTTTACTGTAGTTCAAGGATTGGCAGGTGGGTTAGGACTCTTAGATTACCACTAGTTTTGCGAGGATATAATGCATATTAAAGACCAAAAAACGAAAACACTACAGTTTCTAAAACAATTACAATTGTTCAGCCTCTATGAGACCTCGTGTTTTTGCATCGGGTTGGCAGCCGGGAGCTATAGTGTGATATTTGCAGGGTACTTTAAATGTAAAAAAATAAAAAAATATTTTTAACATCAAAATGATTTGGTAAGCACCTCTACAGTGCGCAACACAGTACGTGCCTTGAAGCGATTAATGCATCACACGCCTTGAATTTTACACTACGCAAATGTGAACATTACATGTAGTTGCATATCCATTGCCGCTTTACTAAGCACCCTTATCTATAGTACTTCATAATAACGGTAATGATACTTGATATTCTTTATATAGATACTAATTTTAGGTCAGTTCAGGATTGTGTTTTAAGCGTGTTTGTATACAGCTTAACACATTTTATGTGGTAATGAAGTCAGTTTTCAGTATTACCAATATATTTCGATATTCGTATGTTCGGGTAGCTATGATAAAACCATTTATGTAAATACTGTTACTATACAGTAAATAGTAAATAGTCAAGTTAACTATAACTATGAATAATTTTAACTTCAATGTGTTATATATTAATTTATGTTTACTCCTGTGGTTAGTTTTTTGCCGAAAACAGTTTATAGCATTTAATCAGCAGAAAGTGAGAACTTTTCGTAACACTTCAATTTTTTTTAAATAATAGGTTTATGGCGTATTTAAATGCGTTATAGAGAACATGTCATGTGAAATTAAACACCTCAAGGTTTTGCATATTGATCTTAATCATAACTTGTAACTTAAAAACAATAGTTTAAAAAATATTACTCACGGAGTCTGTTAGTGGAGCAATTTTGGCGGTTTCCAGTACAACGTCACACAAAAACTCTCTCGAATCAGGCGCTATTGTGACAAGGTTCGCGTACAAACACTCCACTTTCAAATTTATATCGTCTATTATTAAATAATAATCAAACATATATTAATTTGTTTGCCTGCTGTGAATTTAATAACGAGCAAGAAAGCCGATCTATGAAATCTAATTCAATTTATGATAACATAGCCCGCGCTTCATTACACTGACATTAGTTTTTTTTTTTGCACAAGGTATTCCTATTCGGCCAAACAGTTATCGTGGAGTTTGCAGTACGAAATATCATAGACTAATCCAGACTCTTCTGTGACAGTCAAGCAGTTATTACGACGGATCGCATTTAACCCCTGATCTTAGCCTTTGACACGACTAATTTGACTCTGCATTGACCCGAGTTATCCCATGCTACTATCTGTTAAAATTAAGTTGTATCCTGTTCCTGTTTTGTGTTACACTGCAACATAATACTTTCCTTTTCTTTTAATCCATACACTAGAAAACAAATATATTTTACGGTTGTAGAGACACTTATAGAGGAAGAGGTTTTACTTGATCTACACTACCAAAGTTATCTTATTTTAAAATCATGTATCTCTTCTAAAAAGTAAAGTTAGTGAGAAAGATAGCCAGAAAAATGAAGTAGATTATCTACAAAATGGTATTTTTTTTAAATTACACAATGAGGAAAGGACATATTGCATTAAGGAAAATTCCAATGAAACGAAAATAAACAAATAAATCCCTTGTACGCTAACATACGTAGTTAATGACGTTGTAAAAGGGGAATAATTTAGATGAAATCGTAAATGAATCAAAACACATGCAAATCCTTTTATACAACTTTAGAATCTGTACTGCGTTATTTCACTCTTTTCATTCAAATGATTCAATTTGGTTTAAATGCCGTGGGAGGGCCAGACTTAAGCACAAATGGGGCGGCTCGACCGGAAAGTTACCACGGCCTCACAGAAAACCAGTATTAAGCAATTCTTTCATTGCTTTTCACTGAATAAATAGGGTTACCGAAACCCAAAAGGGAGGGTCCCTTTATTTCTGGAAGAAGAGACTTAATTAAATTTCCGTGCGGAAATCCCCTCGGATACTACCTGTCGGTGGCATGTCGCACTCGAACCGACTAAAACCGCACACCGTCTCGGGTACTAATAGCCGGGGAACCAGGTATACCCTAGAAAGGAAGTCCCTGGTGCAACTGCGGTATGTCCTCAACGATTCATCCAGCGTTAGCTCGTGGGTGGCACGCATGCTCCATCTAATATTTGGGCGATGTCTAGAGACACAAGACACTCCTTCATCCGCATATAACCCGTCTCAGCCACCCGCTGCTACATTTAAAGTGTAACCATAATTGCAAAAACTTGACCCAAGCATAAAGTCCTAAGAAATAAAAAAAAACATGAAATATTTTTTTCTAGATGAAAGGTACTCGTGTTTCCTTTTCTGTTTCCCGTAATCCCGTAAATACAACATTTTTTAAGATGAAGAAATACTATTAGGATTCTATTAGGATGGATATATTCGAGGTTATAGAGGGGCGGGATATATCTGTTATTAAACTAAAAGGAAGTTTCAGCAAACAATAAGGATAACTATGGATAAATAAGTTGAGTCATGTTGAAATCTCAGTGACTCGCAGACTTTGTATTGTGACTATACGTTAATGATTAACGGTAATATCCTGACAAATATGAGTCAATAACTATGGGATAAACAACAATAAATATTGTATTAGTTACTTATATTGAATACTAGGTATATGCATTGAATTTTCATTCCCAATTCCACTACTGTGACTTCTGTACGCTAAGATTAACAAAAGTGAATTAATAATAGACAAACCGACCTAAATAAAATCAGCCAAATGCCTGATTACCTCTGTTCGGATTATCTTTCAACCTTTTTAAAGTTTAGGTATATTGGGTTCTTTGTCCTTCAGATATTAAATTTGTGTATTTTCAATTCACAAAAGATAATAAAATCGATTTGAACGAAGTCCGCATAGCACGAAGACTGCTTGAGGAGGATATCATGGACCGTTTGTATCTAATAAGAAAAAGATTTCAAACATGGAAATGTTTGTATAAATAATTCATACTATAATTTACTTAAATTAATTTACGTTCAATAATATCTTGACCTTTTTTCCATACGAACTGCACGGATGGCGAAGTGGTTTCGCTTCCTACTACGCCGAGTGTTGTGGATTCACCCCAGATGGGACGCAACTTTCTGTGATAAACAAATTGTCGTTCTGAGTCTGTTTTTTGTGCCCGTTTCATGTATGTTTGTAAAGTCCCCCGCGGCACAGGATATATTCCTAATGCGGGAGTTGTCTTTTCAAAAAACAAAAAAAATTATAAACAAATATTTGCAATCAATTCTAAAAGCTACTCGTTGAAAAACGCACAAGCTGCGGACAGTGTGTACAACATTGTCCACAGCTTGTGCGTCTAAAAAGAATATTAATGTATACTAGTGCGCAAAACCAATAGTATTTTTAAAACACATGCTTTTATTACAAACTAGCTGAGACCCGCGTTTGTTGTTATAACCGGGGGCAACGCCGCGGGGCGAAGCTAGTCTAAAAAAGTAGCCTAAGTTACTCCTTATGTCATCAGCTATCTGCCAGTGAACGTCCCGTCGAAAACGGTAGTGCCGTTCCAGAGATTACCCGGAACAAACAGACAGACAGACAGACAAAAATTGAAAAAAATATTATTTTGGCATATGTACCGTGTAAACATACATATGCATTTAGTAAAAAGCGGTTATTTTAATATTACAAACAGACACTCCAATTTTATTTATTTGTATAGATGTTGTCTTACGATCTACTTGTATATGTATATAATAGAGATCCATTTATTTTGTAATGAGACACGAAGTATTTTAAGTGAAAGTAAAACTACAACGACTACTGTACATTAGTTTATTGCAAAATAAAAGTAATTACATTAAAAAGTCAAAATGACATACAAAAAAGGGTCTAAATTAACTTAATATGTATATATATGAAAGGTGGGAATAGACTGTTTTGTGAGCATGTCATGTTTATTGTGCTTGATAATTGTAAGAAAAATAACTGGTGTGTAATAAAAAGAAATATTAATCACCTAGAAATAATTAAGTGAAAATAGAACATTCAATACGTGATACATTTTACATCATCATGAAGTTACTTGATTTTTAAACTTTGAACGAATTTAAAATATCTTCAAATGAAAAAAATGTACAAAATTATTTTAATTTTGCTATTTGCAACTTTTTTTAATTCAATCCACAGATCTTAAATGCTAAAATGTCAAGATATTAGAAGTCTAGTTATCGGAATCCATTCATTCGTTTAAACTCTTTTAGACAGTTATCTGTGAACGTAACTGTGTTAGCTTTAATAAAACCCGCATTTAAATATTAATATAGATTATTATTTTTCATCGAATTAGCCACATTTTTGGTCTTCGCTAATTAACTGTTTATTGAACTGTCAAAAAGATAATAAATAAATAGACCAAATAATATGTAAATGGCTATATTGTTTCAATCATTTAACTTATGTATACTTAGAACTAAATAAAAATAAATTTATTTATGTGTCTAAGTTACATCTCTTTCGTGAAGTGTATGACGGAGAGTGCTGTATCCAATAAGTATACAGCACCGTTGATTACGCAGAGGGCACCGACAGCTAAACCGACCTGAAAAAAGAAATTTTACTTTTAAAGATTTTCCGGTTTTTACACGCTTTATATTAGCTTCACTTGTATGTTTGTATGTTTGTTTGTAACCGACTCCTTTGGGCGTGATTTTGACCTACTTTAAACGGTCAGAATTCGTTCAAACTTTGTAGAGGACCGATGACAATACACTAATTAAAAAAAAAATAGTTTTAAAAAACTAAAAAACACGCTTTTTATAGAAAACCAAACTTATTTTTTTATGATTCGGGACCTACTACGTTTGCTCTATATATGAAATATAAAAAGAGAAGAGAAGTCAAACTTGAAACAAACCCTACACAGTTAACAGCAATTTGAAACTTGTCGGCATTGATTTAATCTAATCTAATTCTATACATAATAATATACTAAATAATTTTCCCTGTACATCACAATATCATCAAAAGCTATACTTTTTCGGGTTCCGTACCTTAAAAGGAAAAAACGGTACCCTTATATGATGACTTTGTTTTCCTTCTATCTGTCCGTCAGTGTGTATGTTAAGACCCTTTATCTCGTAACCTCGAACCCTCGGTGGGCGAGTCCGACTTGCACTTGTCCGACTTTTTTTATAAATGATTATTCTGTACTAAGAATTATCTTATGTAGCTTTATAATCTGGCCGTATCAAACAGCAACGCCTTCCAAGTCCAAAAAAAACTAAATGTATTTTTATATCACTAAAAACTCGATTTAAAGCCGCTATCGTACGTACTTGTCTCTCAGCAAAGACAAACTGGAACTGGTGCTGTCCTTGGTATCCTCCCCAGTAGTGGAGGGCGACAGCTCCGACAGCGATCCACAGGAACACGCCGACGAAGTTCATCACTATATCGGACAGGGCCCTGGAAAGAAAAATACTAAAAATTAATCTACTACTAATAGAGTACAGAAAAATAAGATTATTTTGGGGTGCAGCGGTTTGTAAATCTTTCCATCCTTTAATAAAGAGATCTTGGTGGGCCCCATTTTATTCAGGTTTAGGTGCAAACGTGTTTATGACTTTAATAACTGTAAATATCACTTACGGGGTTTCTTATTCTAATATCTAGACACATTTTTAAATCAAACGTTTAATCTTAATATTATTGCCATGTATTTCAGGCTCGGATGCTCTTGTAATTTTGTACATATTGTACCATAGTCGAAACTGCCGTACTCTGTAAAGTATGAAAGAACGTACTTAATTGTTTGATGTTGGTATGATCTTGTAATTATTGTCCAAAGTTCCGCCAAATTTAAAATATTTGTTCTCCCAAAGTAAAAAAAAAATGCTTTAGAGCAAGATTTCAACTTCCTGGAACATCTAAGTGTCGCGTCCATAGGTTTCCTTAGATATGCGTGTGCCATCTTCGTCTTCACTGTCACTTTCTATTAGGACAGTTGGAAGGTAAACGCCCCTTTCCAATAGCAGAAAAATTCTGTTTCTTACCTCTTATGCTCGGTGGTTCCAAATAGATAAGTGACGACTTGCACGAGGGTGTAGATTAGGTACCCGACGATAACTCCCGAAGCGACGATCTCAGCGTCTGGGTTCTTCTCTTCGTTAAGGTTCCAAGTACCACCCACTCCGAGAAACTCTCCATTGTAACCGGTACGGTACAGCACCAGGATTATAATGTTTAGGACCTGCAGATCATGAACAAAAGATATGTTTAGAATATTCTAAGGAGTTATCTTGGTAAATTACGTACACTGATAGAATGTTTTTTTTTCTTTCATTTGGGTAAATTAACGATAACAATACAGAGTATGGATAAAGTTTTTTCTTAAATACCTCCTAATCAATGTTTCACCAACACTATTTACTACAGCTTGAGTAAATTCCATTTTGACTTTCGCCAGATAAAAAATGGGAGGTCTATTTTAATAACTTGATTATGTTGCATTTAAAGGTCATTGAGCCAAAAACATCTCAAAATGCTTTGTGGTGGCTGTAAATCATCTACTGAAAATTTATATATTGGATCTTATAAAAACCCTCAAGACCTATTGTAGGAATCACAGAAAGATTACATAACAAAATTCATGTTGCGGAAATAATGCTATCCGCATGTTAATTTAACAGTAAAGAGAATAATATAATTTTGTGAAAGTGTTCTTGATTTTAAAATAGTAAGTTTAAATGTGTTTGTAATTATTTCTAAAATATGACTTCCTTGAAAGTTTTGTCTTAGCCAAACAATATTACTCATTAGCAGGTAGATTCATTGTTTCCTGTTGTTCTAGCCCCTTGTTATCATTACTTCCGAAAACTATAATCAGTGGGTGCCCCGTGCTGACTCACTGTTTAGAATTGTGAAAAAAAGTCTTCAAGTGGGGCTACACGCAAAGATTTAAATCTTAGATAGATTTATGTAGCCCCACTTGAACTTTATGAACCTAACTATTTTAATTGAGACATCACAACACCTTAATGAGTGTCGAGACTTGACATCATAAAATTTAAACACAAGTTCTCAATTAAATATTGGTTTTTATAACAGGCTTTAAAAATATGTCGGCATATCTTAATTAACGAAACAAACGAGTATTACATATTTAATACCAGGCTTTTTAGTAACTTATTCTATATTTAACCATACTTATGTAAGTACAATATACATTAAATAAATTAAAAAAGTGAAATTTGCTGTTAAGATCTGTAATTTCACAAAGAGGAAAATACCTACTACAAAACAGTTAAACAATTTAATACATTCCTAATGTACACATCATTGCTGATTATTATATGTTTAACATTTGATAAGTAATAGATTATATCGGAGGCCAAGGAATTGACGGCGCGGTCGTACATTTTTTGCTCTCTGGGTGGTTGATTTTCTTAAACCACTATAGCAATATTGCAACTGCTTTAAGTTTGTTTTTCAACAATGAAAGTCAGTTCACGATCCAGAGATTAAACTACACGCTATTAATTGTTATGGTGGGATCACTTGACAAGTAATTCATAAAATGAACACTTAAACCCATTAATATAACAGGCCATAATAATGGTATTATGGTATAATAATAATAATAATAATGGTATGGTGTATATGGCATTATAGTAATAATGATATTATATATAATTTTTTAGCTTTGTATTAAAGTTCCGGAATTACAGAGTAAACATTCACCTGTTTGTCTGAAATGGATAAGATAGCATATCGATAAAGAATTTCCGATAACCGTCATATTTGATGTTAGTCATTGTTTCAATATATCCTACTCCATGTTATATACTAAATAGTTTATCTATGATATTTGTTTAAAGAATAACAAGAAAGATGTGATCACGGTTAATAAAAAACGGATTTGACAACGTTTTGTTATATTATTTATTTTATTAGTTATTTATAATACTGATCATAAAAACATCTCAACGACAAGAATGACCAAAATATAAATGTTTGAATAAGAAGAAAATAGAAATAACGCCTAAATAAAATTTACACAGTGTGACATTTTAATGAGATTTTGCAACAAAATACATTACAATTGTAATAAATTTGCACTTAAAAATACATACTAATTTATAAATAAAATACATAATTGTGAATATTATACTATTTTATCATTGTAACTTAACTATTTTATTACTTTATCTTATGTAATTTTAGAGATGTTATGCACGCAGTATTTATAATTTTTGTGTCTTTTATAATTAATTAATGTATATAACTGTGGGTGAATCAAATAAATAAATAAACAAAGATGCAGAAAGTGTTAAAAGTAGAGAAAGATCTGAAACGGGCAAATATCTATTTGTCTATTTTAGGTCTTGAGATGATGATAGATGAATGTAAAAAATGGGAAAGTTAAGTATAAATCTAGAGATAATGTTAAATGGGAAAGTATAGAAGAAACGACTTATAAACGAGAACAGAATAGTATCGTTACGAAAATATGGATTAATAAAGAACGAGAATAAGAAATTTCTGTTGTCAAATTGCATCATGTATATCGCGAAGATACTGAAATATCACAGAACATAATAACTTACTAAGTAATCAACAAAGAGATCATTCAAATACGTAATGGTATTCTTCTTATTAATCACTTATTTGACATTGACATGACCCTTGACGCAATTACGTCAAATTGACAAGAAGATAAAATATATGTTTTTAAGATGATTGAAACTGTTGATATTTTCCTTAGATATAATTAACCGTCAATAATAATTGAGCTAAAAAGTTATCCTGTTATTATTAGTAATCGCATAATACATTATATTTTTAATAATATACATCATAATTTTTTATACTGATATCCTTTAGTCCTTCGTAAGTAAAAAAAACGTATTACGTTTCTTTCCTATCTAACTTGGGGGTCAACTGTATTATAGTGGAGTAGTCCTCAAAAGAAAAAATCAATTATGTCTATAACACTCATTAATAGCACCCCAGAAACATCTGCTGGATAGCTGTGATTTAGTAAATAAAGGTAACTCAAAAAAACCTCAAAATTTTGTATTTAAAACAATTCTTACGCATTTATCAGGTTTCGACAACTTCTATCTTGACGATTTTTAACATAAAACATATTTCAAATTACGTCAGCTGTAGATGAACCAAACGTTAAAATCTGATGTGATTTGAAATATGTTTAATTCAGATTATTAATGTCTAACATAACCTAACTGGCACCTTTTATTTCCTCACGTAATGACCTATACGAGTAGAAGCTTTTATTAAGAGACGGGTATTATTACTGAAAATTATTTAAACAAGGTTTGTTCTTTCAATTCAAATATCTACGTAAAGATTGGCATGCTGCAGATAACCCGCAGATGCAGCTTCCAACAAATCGACCACACGCAGTCTGTTAATCTTGCGTCATACAAAGCTTTAATGTACGAGATACATGTAGATTAAGCCTCGTGGTATTAAAGATTCTAGTTCACTTGATCATACGGTACCTACAATTCTATAGTACTCTTAGATATCTAAATTTAAATTAATTTTGAAATAATTTCTTTCCAGCAATTGCGTTTTTTTTTAATCTTTTTTAAAACCTACATTAGGGAATCAAATTATAAATCATCAGCGTCAATATTCAGGAAAGTAATGAAATGTCAACAAACAATCATTTGCATATTATCTACGTCAAAAACTATTTTTTGACAGATTAATACTTGTTATCTTTTTTTTAATTTTGACCACTTTGCCAAGAACTTTTTATCTCAAATTAATACTACGTGCAGAATTACATTTACCTAATTGCTTATCGCGGCTGCACAATGTGTAAGAAACCATTCACTCTAAAGTACTGCATGATCTTTACATCTCATTTATTGTGCGATCACCCGATGCCCCCAAGGCTGATGGGATAACATCAATTACTTGATACAACTGTGAATCATCAACTGGACTCAGGTCAAAAGTCAATAATCAAGGAACTGTGCCACAGGCTTAAAATAATATAGAATAGATACACATTTTTCGAAGCGAAGGAAGAAAAAATAAGTATTTGCTAATAAATGGTATTGAATTAATTGCCGAAACTTGCAGCAAAACAGACAGCATTTTGTAATAAAATAAGCTTTTGCCTTTTTTCTTGCCTAGCTTTTGCCGACGGTTCAAAGTTTGCTCATTTCTGTACCTATATTATTATTCTTATTTGCAACGCGTAAGGTCGCAATTTCGCATTCGTATTTTTATTGTTAGTAAGGATAGTGTGAATTCACTACCACGCATTACGATGATTTGTAACTTTTTCTTTGTACTACCTAAATAGCCAGTAGACATCTTATGCTATTTACGTTTAAAAAAACCAGTGGCGTAATGCCTTTTTAACCGACTTCAAAACCGAGGAAGTTATCAACTCGGATGTTTTTTTTTTATTTATGATCGGACATAATTCCGTCATATATAGATGAAGATTCAAAATTCTTTTAAATTAAAATTTCATATAGATCTGATGATGAGTGTCGGAGACAGACATTAGAACTCTTCAAAAGAAGACAGCAAATCAAGCGGCTAGGTTTTTTGTGCTCTTTATTAGTATTGTTTGAAGTCAGTTTAATTATTAAAAAAAAAAGGATTATCCAACCTTTTCGTCAACACACTCCTTAATGTTCTTTATAAAGCGTCCCATACAATTAGCAATGATTCTTCTTCTTTTGAATGATTTTTGTAAAAATAGTAAAATACACATCTCAAATTAACGGCTATCGACTAAGGTCCTTACCCCACCTCTATAACTTTCTCAATCTATAGCAAGCAGCTGATAATTACGGTACAATAACTGTTTTAAATGTCGACGACAGGAAGGCTGGTTCAAACGTTCGTCACGCTTCCTGTGCGGACCCGACCCTGATTTTATAATTAAATCACTAGTGATATAAGCAGAAGGATTTTAATAATAATATTTTAAATGTAATAAAACCTTGAATGATACGTATGAACAAATTTTGCTTGCGTTCTTATTTTGAATAAATTTTGACGGTTAGTTTTTATTTGTATTCTAATTTTGAATGAATCTTGCCGAGTAGATCTTGCTTGAATTCTAATTTTTTATTGTTAATTTATGGTTAAACTTCAATTATCGTTACACACCCATTGAGTTAAAACAACACTAGAGAAGCGAACCTCATTATCACACGTCGAAAAAAGTGTAACCACTTTTGAACTTTGACGACGTAG